GTAGATGGGGAAAAGACTAAAGTTGTCAACGACTTAATTTTAATTGTTCCTACAGTAAATATCCACAATAGCAGCAAATCAAGAAATCCTAAGTGGCATGAGGAAAATATGCTGCCAAGGACCTCACCTTGGTGTTAAAGAGCAATAATGTCCGTCTAAGGACTAAGGCACTCTTGATACAAGCTATAGTCTTTTCAACTCTTTCCTCTGCATCTGAAAAAAAGATCAAAGAATTGAGGCCTGTGAACTGTGGTTTTGGTGAAGCGTACTGCATGTATCATGGACTGCCAAAAGAACAAGCAGCTCTGACTTAGAGGCAGGGTATTCCTATGGTGTAAGCTTAAAAGTTGGCTTTTCTTGTCATTACCTTAGCCTCATTGGTCTCTGGCTACCTTAACTGCAGACACACGGTCTTGCAATTTATCAACAGCTGTGGGACTAAGATAAGAGAGTGCTTCCCACACTGAGCAACAAGACTTGGGGGAGATTAGTGTGACCTTGGTGAGAGTGAGACCCTGGTGACAGCAGTGGAGAGACTGTAGCATTACAAAGGCAAAATGTTACCTGAGGTATCTTGCATTTGTGCTGGCCACAGTTAAAAGCTTTGCTATTCTTGCTAGGTGATGGAAGGAAAAGCTGACTGTGTCTGAAACCAGAGCCTGGACTAACTGAGGAATTCTACCTTGGGGTTTCCGGATTAAAACCTGGGACTTACAAATTGGGTGATATCCTTTGCTTCCCCCACTCTCCAATTTACTTCCCTAATAATGCCCCCCCCCCCTTGGTACCACAGTCTGTGAGTCCACAATGAATAAATGAGCCTCTTCATGCTGGTGTGTCTTCAGAGGCACAATGGAACTGAGCTACTGGCTCTTTATTTGCTATCTTCTCTGGGGCAGTGAGGAGCTGTGTTCTCACTCCTGCTGGCCCTTTCAGAGACACTCATGCCTCCACGTCCCATTTTCTGTTCTCTAGACATGCTCCATAGAGGTATGTATGATGAAACTTTGTCTCAAATATTTGGGGCCTGCTGTTACGGGTGTCTGGGTCATGGAAAAAAAATGCACCACATCATGCTGGAAGGGTTTAAAGTTAAAGAGAGTAAGACTCAATGAGGTAGGCTGACACACAAACTGCAACAATGGACTTGAGCATGTTGGTGATTGTGAGAATGGTGCAAGATAGGGAAAGGTTCTGAATGGTTGTTCATAGGGTTGTTATGAGTCTTAATTGAATGGACATCAACATGGTATGCCATTCTTATGTACTGTTGAGTCACCTGTGACCCATGGAGACTCTGTGTACAACATCTATGAAGACTGTCCTATCCTTATCCAGTCTGACTCCAACATACCTGCCCCTTGCCCAGTTACTGTATCAATGCCTCTTACTGGTGTCTTCTTCTCCTGCACTGTCCCTCCACCCTTTCAAGCATGCTGTCCTTCTCCAAGGACTGGTCCCTCCTGGCCAAGTGCACAAAGTATGTGAAATGGAGCTTCAAAATACAAGTCCCAAGGAGAAACTTGGTTTCAATCTCTCTAAGGCAGACCCTATTGTTTTCTTGGCAATCTATGGTATGTCCAAGAATCTTCTCCAGCACTACAATTCAAAGGCATTGATTGTTCCTCTGTCATCCTTAGTCATTGTCCAGCTCTCTGATGCGAAGACCATGGCCTGGATCAGGTGCACCTTTGTCTCTGGATTGACAAAGCCTCTCGAATTATCTGTTCTGCATATAAATTGAAAAAGTATGGAAACAGGACACATCCCTGGTGCACTCCTTTCCTGATTTGGAACCATGCAGTGTTTCCTTACTCTGTTCTGAGGACTGCTCCCTGGTCCAAGTATAGGTTTCGCTTAAGCACAATCACTGTTCTGGGATTCTCATTCTCCTCAAGGTTAGCCACAATCTGTTGTGATCTACACAGTCAAATGCCTTTGCATAGTCAGTGAAACACAGCTAGGTATCCCCCTAGTACTCTCAGCTTTCTGCCAAGATCCATCTGACATTGGCGATAAATGTCTCTAGTGCCACAAGATTCTGTTTCCGAAAGTTGATGTTGTTAGGTGGCACTGAATTGACACTATGAACAACAGATCTAAACACAGTCCTATCCTGGGCCAATCTCACTAACTCCAACATACCTACTCCATTACTGTGTCAATTTGTCTCATCCAAGGTCTTCTCTTGTTCTGTCCCTCCACCCTTCCAAGCATGTCTTTCTCCAAGGACTGGTCCCTCTTGGTTATGTGCCCAAAGTATGTGAGATGCAATCTCAAAATCCTTCAAGGAGAAACTTGGTCTCACACTCCCCAGTAAGAGAGCTGTTTATTCTCTTCGAGGTCTATGGTATATAGAATAATCTTCTTCAGCACAACTCAAAGCCATTGACTTTTCTTTTGTGATCCTTAGTTACTGTCCAACTCTCTGATACATAGCATGTAATTGTGAAGACCATGGCTTGGATTGTGGACACTTTGGTCTCTAACATTGTTCTTCAGTACTCTGGAGAAGTCCCTGGCAGACTTTCCTAATGCAATTCATATTTTTTTTAATAATTTTAATGAACATGTACAGAGAATTTGGATTCCCATTCATTCATTGCTGCAATTCATCTTTTGATTTCCCAACTCATGATGCCAGGAGTGTTAATGATGGAACCAAGCAAGTTGAAATTGTTAACAATCTCTCTTCTGTGTTTATCATGGTGCTACAAAATGACCCAGTGGTGAGAACTTTTGCTTTCTTGATACTGTGTTTCAACCCATGTTGAAGACTGCTTAGCAGTTATTGAATGTTTTTCATCAACTTTCTTAAATTCAATACCAACCCAATTAACTGTTACATATCTACTAAACTTTAGGAAAGGTGTATGAGGATAAAAGTCAGGTCTGCTCTGTTCAGCACCGTATACATAGTGCTGCAAACCTTACAGCAAGTAATACAAATTGTTCTGTGCTGTCGAGTTGCTTGCAACTCATAGTGACCATATGTACAAGAGCCCTAAACCCTGTTCTATCCTGTCTCACCCTCACCATCTCTAACACACCTCCTCCCATTACCCCAATCACTGAACTGATCCATCTCATTGAGGGTCTTCCTCTCTTTGCTGTCCCTCCACCCTCCCAAACATGATGTACCTCTCCAAGGACAGGTCCCTCCTTGCAACATGTCCAAAGTATGCCAGATGATGCTTCAGAATCCTTGCCTCCAAGGAGCAGCCTGGTTTCATCCTCTCCAGGTCAAACCTGTTGGTTCTCCTAGCAGTCCATGGTATATTCAACACTCTTCTCCAGCACCACAGCTCAAAGGCATCAATTTTCTATCATCCTTAGTCATTGTCCAGCTCTCTGATGCATAGCACACAATTGCGAAGACGATGGACTGAATCAGGCTCACTTTAGTCTCCAGCCTAACATCACTGCTCTTCAGTACTCTAGCGAGATCCCTCACAGCTGACTTTGACAATGCAATTAACTAGTCTCTTGATTTCCTGGCTGCTAGTACCAAGAGTACTGATTGTTGAGCCAAGCAAATTAAAACTGTTAATCTCAATCTCTCACTTCACCATCCATTATGATGCTGTCAATTGGCCCCATGCTGAGAATCTTTGTTTTCTTGATGTTGAGCTTCAATCAATATTGAAGGCTGCAGTGCTTGACCTTCTGCAGCAAGTGCTTCAGGTCCTCAGTTTCAGCAAGCAGGGTTGTATCATGTGCATAATGCAGGTTGTTGATGAATCTTCCTCCAATCCTGATGTCACATTTAGTAAATGTATCTTTATTTATATTAGTAATTGTGAAGACCATGGGCTGGATCAGGCACATTTTACTCTTTAGACTGACATTGTTGCTCTTCAGCACTCTGGAGAGGTCCCTGACCAATTTTCTTAACATAATTTGTCTTTTGATTATAGAAGAATACTCAACAACCACTTCTGAACACTTAGCATAAACATACCACCTTTTCTGGTGTGATCAGAAGATGTCAGACACTGTAACCTACAGCTATATGCACAGTATTTCTATTTTCAAAAATTTTCAACAAACTATTCACATTGGTAAATTCACATTGTTATATGCCCTCATAGCTGATATCGTTCTGATAGTGAGTTCTCAGAAGCTGTAAATCAGGCAGGAGACAGCGTATATTTCTCCCTTAGAGCAGTAGTAGATTTGAAACACTTGTTGTTAGGATGATAGTAAAACTCCTTACCCAATATGCCACCAGAGCTCCCTAAATTCACTTTACGAATAATTCTCAATTTATGCTATTACTGAACTCTTGCTATTAACCCAAAATAAAGAAAAATCAGCCAAGGTCACAAATTATCTTTATACATTTTTAGTGGTCAGATAATGAAAGCATGGATTTAATTTCCTTTATATTATGAAAGCAGTAAGTTCACAAAGCACAAAATTTTACTTCTGGTAACATATATCCAATGATGTAAGAACAGGAAAAATCTAATCAGGAGCTTCCACAGAAAATAGAACTAAAGGGACACATAAAAGTAAAAAATAATTGTATATACTTTCCGAGAGAAAGTACTGAAACATTTTACTTATTGCTTTAGAAATTACTAACTGGGAAAATTATTTTAAATGAAGTAGATAACATGTTTTATATGAAAGGAAAATTAAAACACGAGGGCATATTAAGTCCTCACTCAAATTTGATAGAAGATTCTGAGTTAAACACAGAAAAACTGTTAAGAGATGAAGAGTAAAGAGTGAAAAACATAAGAGAAGAATAAAGAGTGCTGTAAACAAACAGATTAGTATAGAGTTAAGACACGGACAAACAGATGAAGAAAAAAGTATGCTTAGTCAGATCTTTGTTTTCCTGATGTGACGGACTTCTTATACCTCTAAAGACTTTCAAAACCACATCATTTCCCTACACAGGCTAAACCAACTTGAAAATCAGCATCGCACACCCGCTTTATCTTACAATTTGAATTGACTAAGAAATTCGGTTTTAAAATTTTTTTCAAATTTTATAGTTCATCTTCTGAATCGTGATCATAAACTTCCTGAGGTTGTCTCTTAATATTGATTATTAAATCAATGGTCAAAATTTTTGCTAAACACTGAAGAACTGAGGTTAGCAGCTGGTATTTACCTGAGACAGATTCCAAGCCATTGTGAGTGCATACCACTGGCTGATTGGTTTGCAATGCATGGAGAGCTCTTACATATATTTGTGGAAAGCTATAATTTCCTTTTGTAGACTTATAAAGAATCTTGGGAATGCTTAAAAGTGCATTAGCTATTATCATACTTAGTAAGGTTTCCTCTGATTTCTGGCATTTTTTGGCATAGTTAAGAAGATAGTAATGTAGTAAGATCTCAAAATTACCACCCACTGGCAAAACACAACCTGCTGATACTGAAGCAGCACAGTAACTCTTCATTGATTTATGACTCATTGGTAAGGTTTGTCTGCTGCCAGTGCTTTTTGTGCTTTGCATATTTTCAGGAGACACTTCTATTCTGTTTTCTGTTGTTAAATTAGCAGTGAATTTACTCTCAATTAATTGTCCATAATCATCAAACATCCTAGTTTGGTTCTGAGATGTGCATTTCAGTGTGCTGTTTGTTTGGTAATTATTTTTTGGTGCCAATTTTTGCACTGAACATGGAAGATATGCCCCTAATTTTACATCTGGAATCTTCAAATTTGAATGGACTTTCGAATGTGTTTTAGCAGCCTGTTCAACTTTGTTCTTTGCAAGTGTGCCTTCATTCAGTCTTTGCATTGAATCATTATCAACTTCTTGAAATACATCACTTTCTCTACTACTCTTATAAATATAAGGACTTGATGTATCATTTTGAACACTGGCTTGTAACAAGTAACTCAGATCAAGGTCTTTACATAACAGCCAAAGCATTTTAAAAGCTCCATGCAGGGCATACTTGTGTTGTTCAACAAGACCCTGAACTGGTCCACAAAGAATTATACAGTGTGGCATAAACAAACATGTGCTAATCAAGCCAAGATGAACATATCTTTTAGATTTAATGACAAGGGGCTTGCAAAATTTCACCAAAGCACTTGTGATTTCATGTTGTGAACATGTCTGTGGTACTAGACAAGGAGAAAGACCAGTGATTCTTTGAATGAGAGAAATTTCTTCTGATGACAAACACTCCACCACTGATATGCCATTCAGTTTTGCATAATAAATAACTAAGTCCGGTTGTTTCACACTAGATAGGAGCAATTTTATGTTCTGACTCTGTAAATAGTTCATTATTGCTTTTGTCTTTTCCAAAATCCAAGATTGAGAAGCCTGAAGTTGTGCTTCTGAATTTAGAACACATTCTGATACAGCAGCTGAAAAATGGGGCTGAATAGTTTCTGTTACTATCACTATTCTGATGTCACCATCTACTGGGCAGTACACAGAAAAATCTCTGTGAAGCACAAGTCCATCTAAGATCCTAGAATCTGCAACAGGAAGACCAGCAACACCAACATTCAGCTCAATGAAACAGTCATCCACTAACTCAAATACTTCTTCTACCCCACTTTTATAAACCACACACTTGAAAAAGTAGTCACACATCAACTTTGAAATAAATGTGTGATTATTTTTTCCCACTCTTCCACAAAAGTATGCTTCTAAGAGCAACTCTATAGAGCCTCTACATAATGTTTTCTCTTTAGTGGATGAATTAAAGACAGACAAAAAGTGTCTACTTAAGCACTGGTCCAAAATGTAGTCTAGTACTTGTGTTTGAAACTTGAGAAGAGCTTGAGAAATATATTTCCACTGACAACAATTTTTCCAATGCCTTCCATGGGTTTGGATACACTCAGAAATCAAAGAATCTTCTTCTTTGTGTATGGCTGCATCAAGTCCTCGGAGCAAATGGCAAAGATAGATAATAAACGTTTTAGCACCATCTCCTGTTTTTTTGAGATGATTGGAAGCACATGCCACCACCATCCTGTATGGGGGGGAAACAGGAATTTAGATTAAACTCATGTTCTTACAGGATATTGGTCCTATTTCCCCCTCTTTCTCGTTACACTTAGTTCTAGTTCTTAAGCCTAGTGTGGGGTCAGGCGAGGAGCACAAGAGGGATTAAGTGTTGATGGGATGGGAGAATAAATGTTTCCGCTCTATCAGAATCCATTCTTTCAAGACAGTGGTCTCATGGGGGGATCAGAAGCTCTGGGTGCGAGTCCGGGGACCCCAGCTACGGGCTCCTCTGTGGGGTATGTACCTGGCTATGGGATGCTCTAAGTGCAGCGCCTCCAGGAGGCGGCCTCCATCCCGGCTGAGCAGAACCTCGCCAGTAGATTTCGTGCACAGAACCTGCCGCCCTTCGGGACCCACGCAGTTGCTCACGATGCTTTCTAGCACTTCTGCAACCCGCAAGGCCACCTTCAGAGAAGCCGCGGCGGCCATAGCCCTCTGGGTTTCCGTTACTTCCAGCCGCCACCTTGCCTGCCAGCCAGCCCCGAGCGGCGCGACACCGGAAACGGAAAGGGCGGGAACGGCGCCAGAATCTGGGCAGCGCACCATTTTGATTGGGCTGACTGATTGTCCTTCAGGCCTCTCTCCGCGGCTCCGCCAGTCGGAGGCGCCCCGCCTTGTCCGCGAAGAGCCAGAACCCCGGAACGCTACAGCATCTCTTCCTAACGCGAGATCGCATTCCCTCTTACGCTAGTGGAAGAATTTCTTCACATCCTTGCATCTTTTCGATGTCACGACAGTAGCCGGTGTGAGGAAAGGAATGACGCAGGAAGAACGCATTCCCTTTCCTCCAGCAATGCTGCTGCTTATTTTGTACAAAATGGCTTCGGACAAAGACCTCATTAGTTACTTTCATTCCTCCCATTACAATTTTTCGGGATTCAAAAGAGTGCTTTCTGGAGGTTTGCCACAATCTTTTGGGTTCAGGCTTTACCAAGTAACCGCAAATTTGATTTTTTCCCCCTTTAGCAGTGTTTTAGTAAAAGTAGTATTAAGGTGATCATTAAGTTTCTTTAGGTGGTCAGTAGTTTCACAGTGAAACTGGACAGTGGAGTAGCAGTTAACTCCCGAGCGAGGCTGTAAAGCGCACTGGAGGAGACCACCCGTTCTCTAGGAGCGGCTGGTGGATTTCAGCCGCGGGCATTACCACCTGCATACTCGGCAGCCAAGTCCTTGTAGCTGTCCCACCACGTAACTGCTAAGTTACTACACTCCTGACTAACCATTAGTATAATAGCAGGACACCTCTTGTCATCACATTAGTAAGAAAATGAGTTTGTAGACGCTTGCATTGAAAACAAGCTTTAATTTGAAAGCAAATTTCTCTCCCCCCTTAATCCTATGCATGAAGAGAAACCTTAAATCCTCTCCTCTCCTCCCTCGAATTAGTAAAATTGACCCAGTTTATGATCAGCCAGATGAACCTGGACTCATCTCGGTGCACTCGGTATAGTTTAGGTGTGGGTGGTATAGTTGGTTAACACGCTTAGTTACTAACCAAAGGGGAGTTCAGAGGCCACTCAGAAATGTCTCAGAACAAAAGCCTGTTGGTCTACTTTGGAAAAAATGGCCTTTGAAATCCAGTGCCATGCACAGGTAACCAAGAGCAGGAGCCCACTCAACTAGTTTACCAGTACTTGTCACAAGGGTTAAATTACACATCTAAGCAGATTATTCCTAACACTGGATAGTAAACGGACAAAATGAGAGTTAAAAGTGCAAAGAACAAGAGCATTGGAGTCAACTGTGAACTGACAAACTTAGTATTTGATAGCACTTTTAGTAGTCCGTGGCCTTAACAGTCATTTAACTTAGGCTAGTGATTTGCTTCCCAAAGCGTATTTTCTAAAAATACCCCGAGTGAGTAGTTCTTGTCACATGAGGACACTGAATAGAAATTGACTCCACAGCATTCGACAAGCCAACAAATCCAGGTAACTTCTACTGTAAGGTTATGAGGATTCAAGAGGAATGAATATAAAGAACCAAGAAAAGCATACAGTGGAGGTTCTGTTAAATACATTCCAAGCTTTTCATCATTCTTTGCAACTATTCCTAACTAAGATTATTACACAATTTATTGGTTATATGTTAGATTCAAAAGTCTTTTGATCACAGTTTATTTTTAAAAAAAGTTTATTTAGAATGCTTACTTGTAGAAGTGAGCATAATCACACAGATCATTTAAAAAATTCTTTTGTCTGCAAACATTTATAACAGCTTAGGAATAATAGAAATGTAATACATTACAAAACAGTAACCTATAACTATCATACATTAACTATGCACCTTAAAGAAAAGAATTTGACAGTGTGCTATACTTACACTGTAGATAACATACTTTTATTCTACTGTACAAAACTGACCAGTGGTAGGGCTTGAATTTATAAATGGCCACTAAACAGGAAGTTTAACTTAGATATACCATTAGCATGCTAAAAAAAAAATGAAAGATCATCTAGAATTCTGTGGCTCATCAGTTCAAATGTTTCATGGCATTTTTCTT